GCCTGGAGAACATGCCGAGCTGAAATTACAGCACTTAGTCCCTGTGTAGGGTTCTCTACGAGGCATTCTGGAAACCCAGGTGTATTATCCTGGCCAGCTCCATGGTCCCCTCCCTGCTGGTCCCTGCATGGTAGACTCAAGGGGCCAGAGCCTCAGTTGCTATAAATTGGTGTGTCTCCCTTGAAGTCAGTGGATTTACACCTGCTGAAGATTTGACCCTCCTGGTCCTTGAGCAATCTTGAGCCCAGAGACTAATGGTGTCCAGCCTCTTGCGTTAACCCACATTAACCTTTTGTGGCTTTTTGACCCTCTGTAAGTGGAGAGATTTATGATTCTTCTACCACCTCCAAGGTGGAGGAGTTGGTCCGTTAGCTCAAGCAGCTGTGTCTCATGTGTTTAGATCCAGAGGGACCAGGTCCAGTCCCTGTGGACGAACCATCATAACACAAGGAAGGGGAGCGTCTCTCCCTAACTTGCTGCATCCAATCAGGGTTCTGAACTCGGTGTGCAGCCGGAGATCTGACATTGTTCTCAGATCTCCTGCTGGGCTCTGAGGCTCATAGACTTTGCAAAGCAACTCCGAAACAGTTCCGGTGAAAGGCCTGGTGTACACTAAAGAGTTAGGTCGGCCCAGCTCCATTGCTGAGGGCTGTGAAAAATCCACACCCCTCAGCAACGTAGTTAACCTGACCTAACCCCCAGTGTAGACAGTGCTAGGTTGGTGGAAGAATTCTTCCATCAGCCAAGCTACCGCCTCTTCAGGACGTGGATTACCTGTGCCTATGGGAGAACCCTTCCCATTGCCGTGGGGAGTGTCTGCACAGCAGCTGGGCTGCTGTAGCATTTCAAATGTAGACAAGCCCGAAGACTGAACGTGCCCAAGTGCTAAGTAGTTTGCTATATAGGGAAAGGTTTAAATTACCGTACAAAGTACAGCCAAGATTCCCATCCCCCGAGCCCTTGGGCTTGAATTTATTGTTGCCTCCATGTCTGTGTGTCTGTCTGTTAAACAGCCCGTTCCTAATTGCAAAGCGAACCGGCTCCCTTTGGCTGTTGCCCCTCTCACGGTGTACTCCGAGGAGGACGTGTTATGCCTCTGACCCTGCCAGGGAACCCCCCAGTATTTGTGCAGGGTTAGGAGATCATCTTCCCCAGGGGAACTTTCTGCTGCAGTGCAACAGCTGGCTGGTGAGGTGGGGGAGGGGGACTCTCTTTTGCAAATTTCACGCTGGAGCAATTTGCGTTCCGTAATTAATGCACATTGGAATGCATAATTACAAACAGAAACAAATCACGCTTCCCGGCGATTAAAAATCAAGCGGGGGAAGTATTCCAAGGGGCGAACCTCAACCGGCACGCGGCTAAGAACCATGGGGAACGCTTCGGGGTGAGTCTCCACCCCGAGCTACCGTAGCCCCAGGGAGAGCGCCAACCTCTTCCTCCGGAGACAGAAAAGGGTGCTCCCATCTCTCCGTGGCAACGAGTCTTTCTTAAAGCCAACCCCTGATGCCTCAGCAGGTGGAGCCAGAGGCAGCAGCTCCCGAATCAGGCCATGTCTACACTGCCTGGTCTATGCAGCACAGCTCCAGCGCTGTATCTGTATCAGCATAACCCTGTACTCTAGATCCAATCCGCAGTGACTGAAAGGGCTTTTCCATCCCTGTCGGAACGCCAGCTCCTCGAACCACCATAGTTAGGTCAATGGAAGCATGTTTCTATCAGCATAGCTGTGTCTACACTGGGGGTTAGGTGGGCGTAGCTCCGGTGCTCTGGATTTTCACACCCGAAGCGCCAGAGCTATATTGACCTATACTGTAAGTTTAGGCCAGGCCAAAGTCGACAGAAACTATGGGTGTGACTCTAAAGCAGGAGCCTCTCCAGCGCCCCTGGAAGTCAATGGAAGGATCCTCATTCACCTCAGCGGGAGCCCTGTTGAAATGGCCCGACCCCTTGGAACGAGAGGCGTCTCTATTTCAACTACGCAAGGCACTGTCCATGCTCATCAGTGGCTTTCCGGCCCGGCACAGGGAGAGAATTAGGCCGGAGAAAAGCCGACGAGCAAAGGCAGTGTAGGGATTGAAGCCAGGGCAGCAAGGAGAAACTTTGGCCACAACTGCAGTCAATGAACCTTTCCCCCTTTTGTTTCTGCCTGTTTGCACAGCTCCTGTTACTCTTCCATTGGGCCGCACAGACTAGAAATGGGGCTTGTATCTGTACAGCCACAATTATTGTGAGCCTTATTTGTCCAGAGCATTTAACAACAAAATGGAACCCGTGTGAGAGGCATCTGTCCCTTTATATCCATGCTAGGAGTATGAACCGAAAAAGGTTGCTGCAGCCTCCTCTGGTGCCTTATGGGTAAGACTTGGAGGTCATGGAATCCCTGATTTCCAGGGACCTCTGTGACAGTCTCTGCTCCAGCCCCAGGGGCTGCAGGACTCTGGAGCTGACCGCCAGTGGGGTCCTGGCAGGGTTCCAGCAACAGGCGACAGCAGCAACAGGCGACAGGGCCCCCCCCCCCTGCAAAGTTCCAGCAACAGGTGACGGACTCCCGAGGGGGCCCTCCTCAGGGTGCCAGCGACGGGCAACAGCCTCACGCGGGGAGAGGGGGACTCAGGGGGTCCTGTTTTCTCTTTGGAAAATATAGTCACCCTGCAGCTCTCAACCGCCATAGGGGGAAAGGGGAACGCCCCAGCTCCCAGCCACCACGGTGGTGGGGGAAACCAGGGAGCCGCAGCAGCAAAAGTCGCAGACAGGTCACGGCTTCCGTGAATTTTTGTTTATCGCCCATGACCTGTCGGTGAGTTTTATACAAATAACCATGACAAAATCTTAGCCTTACTGATGGGGAGCAGAAGCTTTGGGCTCCAGTGTTGCCAGTCACGGCCCTTTCCCCACTGCTAGACACGCCCTCGCTATCCCTGTCCTGTGAAAAGAGGAGGTGTCGCACTCTGCTGTCATCATTTCCTTGCCCACATCTTCTGGATAGAGAAGGCTTCTGCCTCTCCCGCTGGTCCTTGTTTCTTTGCACTGCCCCTGCTCCAGTGGCTGCACCGAGGATCCCAGTCTCTCATGGTCCATTCAATAGTTCAGCAGAGGGGGAAGCAGTTGGAGAGGATGGAGTGGCCTTTGGGAGCTCACTGCCTGGTGCGTCTGCGTTTGCCCTCCAGGGAGGCTGCACGGCCTGGGGGAATGACAGCAATCACTCAAATGAATTAAGTTTTCTTTTAAGGAGCTAGCGCAGCAGAGGGGAGGGACTGAAGCAGGTGGCAGAAGCTTTTCATTACCCAGCTGAGAAGCTACAGGACTATCCTGGCCCTTTGTGGCTTTGCACCGTGAGCAGCCAGAGTTCAGCTGTCGTCGTACAGCGAACGGCCTGATGCCCAGGCATCAATCAGACCTGGCAGCTTGCGTCCGGAGAGGCACCTGGCTGGGTAGCCAGCTCGGGAGCAGGGATCTCCTGGACTTTTATTATATGTACGGCATTTTGCTCGCACAGAAAATTGATTTTCTTTTTTAAGCACAAAATATAGCAGTTTTATAACCTTTCTTCTGCTTGACAGAGGCCATTTATAACCTGCCTTCACTGCTACATGTGCAGGCTCTGAGCTAACTCATCTTCAAGAACTCAGTAATGCATTTTTAATTGTGAGCTGTTCTTAGGCGAGATTTATTTTTTCCGAGGACTGGTCCTTTTGTTGTGTTGTGGGTTGTTTTTTGTGAGGTTTTCTTTTTTTTTTTTTTTGGTTCTGGTTTTTGATAAAAGAAAATAAATAAATAGCAAAGGTGGACTCGGAAAGCACTTTAATCAGGGTGGCAGATGATTGATGGCATTAGCTGCCTGCTGGCTTTAATCTTTTGGGACAGGGAAAGCCAGCCGGAGAATTGAAATTAAAACCCGGAGCAGAGCCAGATCCCTAGCTTGTGCAAAGCGGCCAGCTCCGTTGGCTTCAGTGGGGTTACTCTGATTGAGCACCGACTGAGGATCTGTCCTCCTGCAGTGGTCTGTCTTCACTGCCAGCCAGGAAGGCTGCCCCCTGGCGAGAACTGCTGCAGAGCCCCGCCTGCCTGCTCCAAAGAGGCACTGGGCTGCTTTTGGGGAATGATTTTAAACGGGGGCGGCGGGGTTTGAGATCCCCAACCATTAATAAAATGCACGTGCAGGCTTAAACAAATGGCAAATACCCAGCCAAAATCCCCACTGCTTTCAGTGGGGCCAGGATCAAACTCACGGGAGTCCATTTAATTGGGATGCCTTCTACAGGCAGGGGGAGGGATAGCTCAGTGGTTTGAGCATTGGCCTGCTAAACCCAGGGTTGTGAGTTCAATCCTTGAGGGGACCATTTAGGGATCTGGGGCAAAAATCGGTCTGGAGATTGGTCCTGCTTTGAGCAGGCGGTTGGACTAGATGACCTCCTGAGGTCCCTTCCACCCCTGAGATTCTATGATTCAGTGTCAAGCATTTCCATTTCCTAGCACGAAGATGCCGTCCAGGTAAAGGACTCCAAGGAGAGAGGCAGGAGCAGGCTCTGAGTGGAGCGTGCCAGGAAGATACTTGCAATGGCTCGTTTCACCAGAAGGTCCCAAAGCCCTTTGCCAAGGGGGTCAGCATCATTAGCACCGTTTGCCTGAGGCACAGGCCAGGGGCAGAGCCTGGAGTAGAACCCAGCTCTCGTACGTCCCAATCCAGTGCTCGTCCCGGTCCACATGGGCTCCCCAGGTGAACTTGCACTTGTGGAGACCTGAGGTCAGGTTTTCGTGTGTCCTCCGTTAATGCTGATGACAGACCTGAGTTCACTGGTGTAACGCCGTCCACCTCGCTGGAGTGGAGCCTGATTCCACTAGGAATGAACGTGGCTCCCCAGGGAGGAGAGCTAACTCACAGCAGGGAGCTGCGTCCCTGGCACTGGCTTACCTGTTGGTCACACCATCACCTCCGGCAGGGGAAATGCACCCAGCCCCGGAACCAGCTCGCCTTAACATGTCCCCTCTCTCTGCAGTGCCCGCAGGAGCTGAGGCCCATGAAGGACGGCACTGGCTGCTACGACTATGCCAAGGGGATCGACTGTTCGGATGGCTTCAATGGTGGCTGTGAGCAGCTGTGCCTCCAGCAGACCCTTCCCCTGCCATATGATCCCTCCTCCAGCACCATCTTCATGTTCTGCGGGTGAGTCTCCTGGAACCATTGCGTCAAAGGGGTTCTGCAGCTTGAACGGAAGACTTGAGCAGCTGGTTCCTCCTCTACTCTCTTCCCTTCCCCTGCATTCTTCTGAGCCACGTTTGTGTCTGTACTCACGTGTCTCTATCTTTATCTGCATGGTCGGACCTGTGTGGCATGGAGGGAGTAGAGGAGTATATCCGCTCAGAACAATGGCGGAATTGGCCTGTGTGTGTGCACGTGTGCACATGTGGAAGCATAATTCTGTTCTTGCTGCACATCCATGCAAGAGCTTGATGTCCCAGTTATGCATCTGTGAAAATATACCAGTAACTGTATGTGCCGTGTGCCCCCATGGGGGGAAGATTATTCACATGGGGGCAACAAGTAGCGATCGAATGAACGTGCAATTTTTGATGGTGAATGTCCGTGCCTGCTGGCCTGCAGTCTAAGCACATGGAAATGATCTGTGTGCAGACGGACAGTTCTCACTCCTACAGGAGTGTGTGTGTGTGTGTGTGTGTGAGAGAGAGAGAGAAAGTGACTGTACAAGTCAGTCCATGTCTTGTTATATAAACCCCAAACTTTTTTGTGTCGGGTTGTTGTGTGTGTGTGTTTTATTTTATTTTATTTTATTTTATTTGCTGTGCATCTCTTTAAATAGAGTTTCATCCCAGAGCTTGGCCAGGATCCTAGAATCCTATGTGATTTAGCATTTTTTCTAAGGAAAATCTCCCCGACTACAGAACGTTCCAAAGGGAGCTCTGTGATTATCTGGCTTTACGCGGCAGGGCTGCAAAAATAGCCATCCATCACACAAGCCATCCTTTGCAGTGCCCTGGTTTAGAGGCTGGGCAGATTGTATCCCTTTGTAAAGAAATCAAGAACGTAGAAAGAAAGAAATCATAACATCACACAATAAATGAACAGTAAACTAAGATTATTGGCTACACCTTTGCTAATGCATATCTGCATTTACACATACTTGTGAGCACATGCATTAGCCGACTTCAGTCCTCCTATCTACAGGGGAAGAGGTGGGAATGGGAAGGTGGGGGAAGGGAGCAAGAAGCCATTTAGTGAAGGAAACATCTGGGCCCAGGAGGGTAGCAAAAAAGTGCAGCGGGAGAAGGATGTACAGCAGCGTGCACTGAAATGGAGGGGTGCATCCTGCACTTAGAACTATGGCATCTGAGTGTCTACATGCCACCGTTCCCTAATATACATGACTGCAGGCTGACACGCAAGGAGGAATGAGAGGGGCCTTCTGGCTCACAGCAAACTCTTACATGGGTCACAGCCCGAGAGCAAAAGCCATCACAGAACCCCGTACCCAGCCTTGGTGACAGTGAGGTTGCAGAGGCAATCTGAGGTATCTCAGCACCCAGCCTGGCTCAAGGCAAAGGCCAAGTGGCTCCCAGGCAAGTGGGAAAGTAGCGGGATACCCCATCCGCAGATGCAGAGGCATAGAGTAGAGGGAGACTTGCAGCATCTGGCTAAAACTGGTGGGTGGTGGAGAGGAAGAGGGCACTGAAGAACAGAAAAGCCACTCCCCTAACTAGAAAAAAATGCAGGGAGCATTGATGGGCTCCTGCCCTGTTAGGCCTTTGCAGACATTGCTGCCCTTCTTGCTGGGGGAGAAGTGTTGTGCTTGGTAAAGGCAGAGTGGCTGCACCTCTGTGTGTTCATAATAGCCATTGTTCCCGTTTGGGTTTGCTTGGAGGGAGGGAGGGAGCCTGGGGTGTATGTGTGTGTGTGGGAGGGGAGTGGGGGGGGAGGGATGTTTCCAATTTCTCCCAACATGTGTGCTTCTGGGGTCCAGCCGGAATCTACAGCCAGGAAGCTGGAGAATCCCCTCTCCCGCCGTGCTGCTTCTCTGGAGAATGCTACTTTCAGGCCATGAGCTGCATTATACACAAAGCCTTCATGCATCACTGCCCTGAAGTCAAGTCAGCTGGAGAGGGACTGGCAGGACAGGCCCCAGAGTGTATGTGCCAGCCTGGTCTATCACTACTTTCCTCTGGCCCGGCTCAGACAGCACCAATCTCTTTTCCTCTCGGTGCCCCGGAGAAAGTGGCATCACAATGTCCACCATCCTTCCTGTAAGCACCGGGGGGACCTATCAGCCAGCAGCAGGAGCCCGGCGGATCACAATCAAACGGGGATATTTCTAATATCCCCTGTGCGTTAGGGTCCCAAAGCCGAGTTCTCCACCAGCTCCGGCAGGCAGAAAAGGGAGCATAGGTGCCCTAGAACAGGCTTCCCCCAAACTTCCCGGACACATTCTGCCTCTTGCCTGGTGGCCGCCGCCGCTCAGAAAAGCACTTTGACCTTCAAGGAAATGTGAGTCATGCTTTGTGCAGTGAAGAAGCAAATTCCTAAAAGTAACTCCGAGTAACACCTGTCAGCTCCTGACACATCCAGGTGCTCAGACGGCAGAGATCTCGCTGAGCCCCAGCCGTTCACAGCTCCCAGGGGACCCAGCTTTCTCAGCCACTTTCTTTCCTCTCATTTTTCCCCTTACTTTATTGCTTCGCTGCTTGGAATGATTGTGTTACAAAGAGAAAACACACAGCCTTCACAGCTGCTACGCAGGGGTTTTGGGAAGCGGGGCAGGTTCGGCAGGGAAGTGGATAAACAGCAAGGCTCTGCATTCCAACAGAATGTGACACGTACGCAGGGAAGGCAAGCAAAACTAGTTCAGTTGGGCCAAGCAGATACCATGTGATGAGTACAGGGTAAAGCATTAGTTGTATTATAACTACACCTCCAGGGCCGCATAGTGCTAGGCACTGTACAAACAGTGACCGGTAGGCCCTAGCCTGAGAAGCTTGTAGTATAAACAAGAAAGGCCAAAAAAGGATGGAAGACAGGCAGCACTATTATCCCCATTTTACAGTTGGGAAATCGAGGCTCAGAGAGATTGAGTGACTGGCTCAAGGTGACGTGGAGCCTATGGCAGAGCTGGGGATTGAACGCAGATCTCCTAGCCCCAATTCAGTGCCTCCTCCACAAAATCATCCTTCATGTCTTGTGGGAGCAGTTTTTTTATTTCTGACTGCACCACAGGAACCCATGTGTAACCGGGGGCAAGTCACCTCACCCTTCCCCTGCCTCGGTTTCCCCATCTATAAAAGGGATGACAATACTTGCCTCCTTTGCAAAGTGATTTGCAAACTAGAGCTGCAAAGTGTTGTAGAAGAACTGGGAATTAACAGTGGGAGAGAGGAACAAAAAACCTTGGATTCACATCTCTGGAGACAGAACAACTAAATAAAAACAGGGGCGGTGTCCCTGGCTTACTTGTGCTGTTGGCTGGGGGGACGTTGGCGTGGGTGTTTGTACAAGTATTGGGAGGTAGTGTGTGAAATAAAGCAGCTAAATAGACGATGTGCGTTGGTGCCCAATTCTGCCATCAGGCACAGGGCGTCATTCCCATTGATTTGTGAGCATCTGCCCTGGTGGGTGGGGACTTGCTACCTTGGGAAGGGCAGGATGTTTGAGCTGAATTCTCTTTCCTCCGCCACCTGACCGAGGCAGCTAGAACATATTGCCTTGTGACCCTGGTACTAGCGTTCCTATGCTGCCAGGCCTACCCACAGGGAGGCCCAGAATAGGCACTGCTGGCACCAGTTGCAGCTGGCAGCCAATGCGGATGTCAGCCCTGCTGCGGCTGTCCTTGGTGCTGAAGAAAGCTGCTATTGATGCTGCAAGAATAACAAGGATTGGTAACGTCCAGGCCGCAGCTGTTGGTCTCCAGGAGCTCTCCCCAGCCTAGGTTTTGAGTGCCAAGCCTGGAGCTAATATTCTGCTGGCTCTCCAGGCCTGGTGCACCCGCCCGGTGCAGGTTTTAAGTTATGTGACTCCCTGGAATAGTTTGCTGCACCCTGGTTCCCCAGATCCTCATGGAGTTCCTTACAACAGGGGTTCTCAGACTTTTGTACTGGTGACCCCTTTCACACAGCTAGCCTCTGATTGCGACCCCCCTTATGCATTAAAAACACATTTTTATATATTTAACACCATTCTAAATGCTGGAGGCAAAGCAGGGTTTGGGGTGGAGGGTGACAGCTCGCGACCCCCCATGTAATAACCTCACCGACCCGCTGAGGGGTCCAGACCCCCAGTTTGAGAACCCCTGCCTTACAATCAGCTGGCTTGCTGTACTTCGATTGTGCTTATCATCCTGACTCTCCTATCCCAAGAAGAGTCTTTCTACAGCAGGGTTCATGTCACTACAAGCCCTGTTTGGGGGTTGGGTATTGCGTGCGTGTGGCTCTGTCTCTCTCTGACCTAGTTTGTGTTCTTTCCCAGCTGTGTCGAGGAATACAAACTCGCTCCAGATGGCAAATCCTGTCTCATGTTGTCTGACATCTGCGAGGGCCCCAAGTGCTTGAAGCCGGACACCAAATTCAACGACACCCTCTTTGGTGAGATGCTGCACGGGTACAACAACAGGACCCAGCATGTCAACCAAGGCCAGGTGTTCCAGATGACTTTCAGGTACTGCCCCATCCCCTCGCTGGGTCCGGTAACATGGTAGATTTGCAAGACGTACCCTGATGATATTGAAGGTCGGAAAGGGAGGTGTCAAAGGTGAGGGTGGTGGGAAGCTTAGCTGTCAAGAGCTCTATCTTGCAACGTTGACCTACGAGAGCTGGGGGCAACTCATAGAAAATAGAGGTGGGGAAAGAGCTGAGAGGTTGTTTCTGTCTGAGGTATGTCACATAGCGGGGCCAGAACTTCAGCTGGTCTAAACCAGCTTAGCCCCATTGACTTCAAAGGATCTATGCTGATGTACATCAACCGAGGGGCTGGTCCAGTGGGAGCTACTCCACATCCACCCAGCCACTCCAGGGTCCGATGCAGGGTTCTTCCCCACAAAGTGTTCTCCAGTGGCCTCAAAAGCGCTGAGGCCTCACGACTCCCACAGACTTCAGTCAGAGTTGCGTGTGCTCTGCATCTCTTACAGTCCAGCCATGCGGCTTTCTCCAGTCGAGTGTAAAATCTCCCCTGTGATGTATCCGTGCTGAATTCTGGCCTTTTGCTATGACGATGGGGACTGTAGAACCAGTACGACCTCCATGGAGCTGCTCGGCTCCTTTCTGCACTCAGAAAGCATTGGCAAACCGAGCCCTCGGGGGTTCTCAGCAGCGCGCGCTTTGGTGTCTGCAGAGCAGCAGCCTTTGCCGGAAGTGAGAACTGACCGTGCGCGAAGGCAGTTTTCCTAGCACGTTTTCCTTCAGTTCCCCTCCCCTTGGTGGGGCCTTTTGAACAGAGACAGGAACACAGATTGGAAAGCTTTGCCGTGCGCTTTGTTTCCTGATGGCCGAGCAGGCCTGGGAGATTCATGAATCCTGCCATCCTAAAGAGCCCCTTGTGTGACGACCGCAATCTCACATAAGCCCTCCCTGCGTCATAACCAGCTCCCGCCTGTGCTGCCGTCCTCTGGGCTCCAAGCCGCCTCTTGCTGGGGCTTTAATTTCCTCTCCCGCTCCTGTAATAGAGTGGCCTTTCCTTGCACTGCGCTAGGGCTGGGGGATTTGTTTAAAGGCAGCCTTCCCCTTGCCCAGACAGCAGCCTGATTGAGGGGGCTGTTTATTGCTGCCTGAAAGGAAACGCAGAGCTCAGGGACTCCGAGGCAGACGGGTTTCTTCCTTCGCCGCTACCGCAGCCAGGATGGATTCTGGCTCTCAGACGAAAGACGCTTTAAAAAAAAAGGAATAACAACAAACATGAATCCTTAAGGAGAGCACTGCCTCCCTCCCCCCCGATCCAGCTTGGCTCCCATTCTGTTTGAGCCACTCGGTCTATACTGGGCCTAGACAGCCCCGGGGCCTCCTTTATCTGACCCCGCCAGGTGCTTCCACTTGGTGTGGGGATTAAAAAGCAGGCGAGAAACCGTCTTCCAGGCTAAATACCAGCCATAAAGCCAGCAAGATTTTATAACTCCATTTTAGTTGGGAGACACTTCCCTTCATTCCTGGCTTCGGTGGCCAGCTGGCTTTGGGCTCAAGCAGTGCAAGAGACCACCCAGCCTCGGGGCTTTGTGCTAAGAGACTCTTCCTGGTCCAGTGCTGATTCAGCGTCAGGCCCAACCCAGGGCTGGACGGGGAGACCCGATTCGGTTCTCTTCTCCCGCGGGCTGGTAGTCCCGCCCAAATCAAATCATAAGGCCATGCCTGCTGTACTGTGAGCTGATGTCTCAGCCAAAGAGGGTGCCCGATGCTGTTCTGGGTGTGTCAGGCCCTCTGGGATGGCAAGGGGGAAGCCCCACCCCCACCACAACAGTTTTGCCTATGTAATATTTTCCATTTATGGCTGGATTTTCCCACTGCGCTCTCGTAAGTTTAGCGCCGACACCATTGGGGATTTTTCCCTTCGTACCGTTGCATGGTGAGGGACGCCCCTGGGGGAAATCCCCCCTTCTCCACTCCGTCTTCATCAGCAGGTGCCTTCCACCTCAATCCAGAACGGTGCCACATTCACTGGACTCCAAGGAGTGTGGTTTCTTTGCTTGCACCTGCTGAGACATCCCAGGATTTGGTGTGATGCAGCTGAAGTTCTCCCAGTCATCTGAGAACTGCCCTTTTCCACCTGTCCCCTCCCCCCAGTGCATCACACCTGCCTCCCAAACATTCCAGGTGTCAGAGTCCAAAAAGCCACCGACCAGTGGAGAGGCTGAAATACCTCAGCTGGTTCCAGGAGCTCTAGCTACCAGGCCAAGATTCAGCTGGAGGTTCCCAGGCGAAGGAAGGATGCCAGTGGGAGGTGAGACCATAAACACGCTTTCCACATCTGATGTGAAACCTGCTCAGAACTCTGCATGCTCCCCTTTGTAACACTCGCAGACTGTGACTGCAGTCAAATCTCCTGCGTCAGGCCTTCAGAGAGTTGCTTGCAGGGGTCAGGGAAGGTGTATGCTGGGTGGGAGGGCGTAGCCTTTTGAAGCATCAGGCTTGGCCACAGCTGGAGACAGGAGCACGGACAGGGAGGGCCAGTGATCTGAGGTGGCCCAGGAAAGCTTCTTCCTTAGGGTATGTCTGCCCTTCCAGGTGGGGTTGTAATTCCCAGCTCAAGGAGACCTAACTTGTGCTAGGGTCTCATGGAGCTCAGGTGCTAAAACCAGATGGTAGCTGTGGCAACACGAGCGGCAGAAAGGGCTAGACACCATGTGTCTAGACCTAGCGTCTCCGACACGTATGTGCTTGGCACAGCCGCCTCTCCCGCTGCCATGGCTCCCTTCTAGTTTTAGCACCTGAGCTCCTCACACAAGTTTGTCTCTTTGAGCTAATTTCCCTTCCGTTGCAGAGGCCCGGGGCCCTGGGGACACCTGGCTCGCTCCTGTTCTCTGCCTGTGGCACACACCGGTTCAGTCTCCTGAGCAGCGAAATGCGTCAGTCTGACCCGAGCTATTGGGTCATGGACAGGAGGTCAGACTAGGTGGCTTTAAACTCTGTCTGCATCCTGGGCACGTGAGTTGTGGGTTTCCAGCACCACTGCCATCACCGGGATAGCTCCTACCACAATCTGCCTGGGACATAACGCGGGGGATGAAACTATATCCAAATCCAGACAAAAATTGCCCATGTGCTTTGCAGGCAAGGAGCCAGATCCTCGGTTGGTGAAAATCAGCATGGCTTCATTGAAACCAGCAAAAGCTATGACAGTTAGACCGGCGGAGGATCTGGCCCTGAGCCCAGCTGCTGTATAGGACAGGGACAGAACGGCTCTGGGGCGAAAGCAACACCGGAGGGCCGGAAGAGCCGGCAGGCGTGGTGGCTAAATAGAAGAGGAGGGATTGCAGTATCCACTGAGAATGGAAAAGAGAGGTAGTACCCGCAAGGGGTGAATGCCTGGGGAAAGGCGGGTGGGAGTCCTGCTGTACTCGTTCCTGCTCACGTCTATACTATTATCTAATATACGTGACTCAGTATAATATGCAGCCTTCTCAGTACCCAGGATACCAATGTCTTGGGCTTTAGAGATTGTTCCCCGGGGTGGGGAGGCCGGCGCTGGCTTTGCTGCCTATTTAAAATTAGACTGTTTGTTCTGAGAATATTGGCTAAAAATGAGACACTCCGCCCGCCCACACACAAATGTGTTCAGCCCCCTCCCCTGGAGTCCCTCTGTCTGCTCTCCGTGGAGGGTTATGGTGTAGAAACACCATTACATCATCCTCTAACAAGGGCCGGAAAGGAGGTTAATGGAGAAGAAATTATTAACTAAAAGATGTAATTTGCCTCTGATTTTCATATATATTCAAGAACCTCTCTGAGCATTAAGACGCCAGCTGTTCAAGAAGCCCTTAATTTGGTGCATTTGAAACATAGCAGGAAACTCCCTAATACCAGGGATTAAAAGCCTGTTTCGGCAAAGTAGGAGCAAGAACCTGCTATCAGAACAAAGGGCTGAGTATTTTAAAGGCATTTATCGCGGCTGGGATCCCTTAGTTATGCAGAGGTGACAGTCCTTTAAATGCTGCATATTTTCCATGTTGTCATATCTGCAGTGTCCTTAATAAAGAGTATAGTTTCCATCCACCTAGCATGGCAGCCCAGTGTTGGGGGAAGCCGTTGTGCAGCTAGAAGCTTTGTCCGTCACGTCTTAGCCTGGCTGTCCCCATCAGTCCCAGTTCCAGGGTCTGGTGGTAAGAGCCAGGCAGCTAGATGTGTCACCCTTCAGTGTTGGAGTGTCCCACTGCCACCCAGTCCTCGGCAGCAGGCCCTGCCCTCTGGTTGCTGGATACGCCTTTCCATCCAACGCGCAGCATGAGATGAGGGACTGTGCTGGAGTATGGGCAGGCTCCTCATATGGCGCTGAAGGACTGGGACGGAATGTGGCCCCCTTCAGAACTAGATCAGGTAAAGCATTTGGTAGGATTACACCCCCGGCTGGAGCAGGTGAATCAGATTATTCCTGAGATCTTAGCCCTGTCCCTTAGTATCACCGTGTTACAGGCTCTCTTGCCTGCGCTTCCGCTTCCCCGTTCACCTAGCCGCTGAGGATACTTCCTGTTCATATACATCAGCGATGGGTAAGCTGCTAACGCGTGTGCATAGGCTGAGCAGCTCACGTCATTCAACTCTGAGGAGCAGCAGGCATATTTTACCCCGCAGGGATTATTAGAGCACCCTCACTGCGTGTGCCATGGTGATGAGCGTCTGTCCCTGTCTCAACATCCTTGAATGCCACCTTCTAGTTCATGGACAGTGGAGAGACACCGCTAACAACTCTGCACATAGCTCATTCCATTGCATAGCTGGGCTATCATTCATGAATTATTACTGTGTGTTATTGCATAGCCCTGTGGGTGTGCACAGCACTTAACAGACAAGTTAGAAGATAAGGTTCCTGCCCCAAAGAGCTTATGAGTAGAGCTGGTTGAGGTTTGGGGATTGAAAACTTGATGACTGTGTTTTGTCAACAATGACCGCTTTTGTGGGGGAAAAAATACAGTAAAAGTTTTGTTATCTGGTATGTTGGGGGAATGGGAGGTGCCG